TTTCCATTGTGTTTGGTATTTTATACCATTCATTTCCACATGTATAACCTACTTTATAGAAATCTCTTTATGTAGAGCATTTCGGGTAGCCTTACTATACAGTGAGACATAGTAAATTACTAGAATTCTTTAATTTGCTTTATTTGACAGTTAAATACTCTAATATTTTGGTATATTAATTATTATATTTTGTGATCTTGTGTAACAGTTTGGCACAACATTTGTATCTGGGAATATTGAGGTAGAAGATATATTTGATTAATACATATGTTGAAACAGATTGGTAATATTGTGAGCACTGGTATGAATGCTAATATCATGTGGATCAATGGAGTTGCTATGGATACATCAGGCTTAAAAATAATTTGTTTAAGCTGGAATTACATCAGCTTTAGGAGGTACTTTTTTTTTTTTTTAAATATTTTTGAAGCGGGTAGCTGAAGGGGAACTTTTTGCATCTTCTGGAAAGGAGTTCCAAATTTTAGAGTTCCTGTATACGTTAAGTCAACACGTGGTATATCAGAGTGAAACTTGTTCCTTGTGTTGTGTCTGTGTGTGTTGTTGCAGCTCTCCAGGAAGAGTCGGAGCGCTGGGTGAAAGTTCGTTCTGAGTGTCCTGTATGTATAAAATACACAGTAGTAAGTGTGGATGTATTAAAGTTGTGAATCTTGAATAGTGTGTGTGTGTGTGTGTTTGTGTGTGTGTGTGTGTGTGTGTGTGTGTGTGTGTGTGTGTGTGTGTGTGTGTATGTGTGTGTTTGTGTGTGTGTGTGTGTGTGTTCGGAACCTGGATGAGTGAATATTTATATAGCTTATTTCTACTGGGTAACAATGAGTTTTAGGTGATTTATTTACTATAGTAGATCCACAAGCATACATCGTAAGCGAGATAAGTATAGGTTAGAGAGTTGTCTGGGAAATTTTTCTTAGATGTGTTGGATATGTGTCAAAATCTGAGGTTGCAGTCAGGGTATATCACCAGTTTCCCTTGTCTTGCCTTTCTTTGTATGAATTATTTATTTTTATGTTGAAATGGGCATTTATAGCTTTATTCTCAAACAATATGTAGAAGATCTTGTCAGTATTGAGAGTATATTTGTTCGTTACCATCCTTGTAGAAATCTTAACGAGTTCGTTCACTGTGTTGTTAAGGATAATAGGATTTGGATTAGACATATAAATGTCATGTCATTTGCAAACAGGATTGATTTAAGTTTCTGAGAGGCATGTGGTAGGTTATTTATGTAGATGAGGAATAATACATGAAGGACGCTACGCTGAGGCACCCTATGTTGATAGTTTGTGTTAATGAGGTGGTATCATTGACCGTCAGATGTTGACGACAGTGAGGTGGGACTTTATGTGAGTGCAGGCATTCTGATACCATAATATGCTCAAGTTTCATTAGCAAGAGATTGTGGTTTACAGTGTCATATACGTTTGATGGATACCTGAAGGATATTTTAGGAGTCAGTGACCCACCCTCCCAGACCAGACCTTCTGGAGGATCAAGGGCTGATCAACCAGGCTGTTATTGCTGGCTGCAAGAAGTCCACTGTACGAACCATAGCCTGACTGATCGGGAGCTGTCTTGAGGAACTTACCAAGCTCCATTTTGACGACAGCCAGGGGTCTGTTGACAATCCCTTTCATATATGATGGGAAGCTGTTGAATGGTCTTGAGCCCCGTACATGTATTGTGTTGTCTCGCTGTACTCATGGCACATCTACTTTTTAGTGGGGGTATTTTGCAGTCTGCCCAGCCTCTTTTGTAGGGATTTCTGTGAGCAGATTTGGAACCAGTTCCGCTCGGATGAATTTCCAGGTGTAAATAATGATGCATCTTTCTCGCTTGCATTGAAATGTGTGTAGTTAACAAATGTAGCAGGTGTAAGGATACTTGACAGTGTACAATAGCCAAGAAATGGAGCCCGAGTATTTTAACTGTGAGCTTAACGTTTTACCACT